AAAAGATACACAAAAACCCACCTGCCCTTCAAGGTAACTGCTTTCTTCTAATGAAAGCTACTCTCACACCTGTATCAAAGGAGATGATAGGCAGTGATACTAAAGCCATCCAGATGATACTCTACTGTACACTATAATGGCCGAGGTTAAAGAAACTAGTGACAGTATTAGTCAAGTTACTCCCTGAATCAAGAGTGACCCATTTCTAACACACTTAACAATCTTTAGACCTGCACCCTTTTGGGAATTCTTTAATTACCTCCAGGAAAGCCAGCAGAAATACCTCAAAAAAAAAACAAAAAAACAAAAAAACAAAGAATGTTAATTCATTAAAACCTAATTGCTCCAATCATATAGGAAAACTTAAAGTGAAGGAGTATTCAGTTCATCCATGCCGAAGTATTATTCTCTTGAACTACTGAAAACAAAACTTAGTCCCATTTAGTAAAGAACACCTCCATACACATACCCAGAGCTACTTAATACCCCGAGTTCGATCCCTGGTACAAATATGGGCAGCAAAATAATCCCTAACAGGAGTCTTTTATCTTTTTTTGTTTTTTTTTTTTTTTTTTTTTTTTTTTTTTTTTTTTTTTTTTTGGTACTGGGGATTGAACTCAGGACCTTGTGATTGCAAGGAAGGCGACAGAACCACTGAGCTAAATCCCCAGCTCTAAATAGGAGTCCTTTTAAACCCCACTAACAAAAGTCACTGGCAATTAAATCTACATTGTAGATGTAACACCCTGAAATTTGGATACTTTCTATGGAAAGTCAGATAATTTTCCTACAAAAACATTATTATGTACACTACACACACTAGTTAAATCTCTTCAGCTATAATTGAGAAATGACTTATTGTGGAATCTTCAACATAAAAACATTCAATGCTTAGTGTCTGTGCTTACAGAGGATAAAAATCTCTCATACACAGGTTTAACTAAAAACATGATGCAACAATAGATGAAAAAAATAAAAGGACATTTATTTCTAAAGCTGCAATGTGGGAGGGAAACAGGCTGAGTTAGAAAGATCCAAAAGGCTTAATAAACATTGAAAGGGTGCAATCAGGGCTTCTTGGTTTTAAATAAAATAGAGGCTAAATTCCTTATGTAAGCTCCCCCATCTCAACCTCTAGTCTAACCTCCTTCCTACTCCTCTACCCTAAGGTTTTTTGACAAATTCTTCCCAGAGTTAAGTTCAGTATATACATTGCCCAGGAAAATCAGATTTGCAGACTAGGATGAGATTATTATTATTGCAGCTCTTACATAACATATACAGGAAAACTTGTATTTTATCCCATAATTCTTTTATTGCCTCCACCACTAGCTACTGAAAACAAGTTTACACATTAATATCTGAATCTGGATGACATTCCTGCCCAAACTTCAAGACAGAAGTACAAACCCACTAATTTTTTTTTTCTTTTTTCCAGTACCAGAAATCAAACTCAGGATCCTGTGCTTTCCAGGCAGGTGCAGTACCACTGATCTAAATCTCTGGCCCCAAACATACTAATTAACTTGCCCTTTAAACAAACCATTTTAGGAACTTTTAGCCAAAAGACCTGAAACTAATGAATGAGAAAGCTGGCACACAACAGTCAGCATAAAACATGAAGACACCAGCAAATAAGATAACTAAAAGTATCTCATCCCCCAACCCTACCCCTTTTGTCCCCCACTTTCCAAATCTGCAAACACTGAATTCATAGCTGACTACCTAGCTGGTAAAGGTTGCTAGAGAGGGGTAAGGACAGGTAACATTTCAAAGTTAAGTGAACTAAACCAGACACACATTTAAATACCGCATTGTTTCTCTGGTGCAAGAAACTGAACGTGGAATTAAGGACTGAGATGTATAATGGATGTTGGGAAACAAGAAGAAGTTGTTCAAATGGGAAAGGGAACAAGGGAGGAGGGAGGGAAAAAGAAAGGAAGAGACAAGAAAAAAGTGAAAATAGAAGGAAAAATGGAAACAAAGCCTTTGTACATGGGGGGGCTTGAGGGGGAAGTGGAATAAAATAAAAAATATTTTAAAATAATAAAATAAGTTCCTCCTGACCAAAAAAAAGTTCTTACAACTTTTTGGGCCTAGGTAAAAGCACTACTCAGCTTATGTATGAGTCTACATTCTCACAGAAAAATCTCTTTATTGAAGGCTTTGAATATGCTCTCTACCACTTTAAATCCTACCCTTTTACATCAGCTAGTGTGGCTGTGTATAATGCTGAGATTATTTTACCCAGAATTAAGACTCCACACCCCTCATTCCTGGAGCAGGGCCTTTTTATGCCCTAGGTGCTTATCCTTGAATATTTTGCAACATACTGCTTTTAAAAAACTATCTGTAGCTCAGTGGTAGATTATGTGCTTAGTATGCAGGAGTCCCTGGGTTCACTATCCAGCACCAAAACCAATAAACCAAATCTTAAGAGTTATCTTTATGGGAATTTTAGCTAAAACAAAGTCAGATTTAGTAGCTCTTTTCTACTAATATATGGTTCTTTTTTATTTATTATTTCATTATGCACTTTTAAATTGTAGTTTATCCCATTCCCTCCTCAATCCCCCCTCCCTTATGTTCAAAAGCTTTGTTTCCATTTTTTCCTTCTAATACATGGTTCTTAAAACAATTATATGATTTCAAATTTGCCTTGCCTCAGCAATAAAAAGTTACTGAAACTTTAACTATACTGAAGAAGGAATAGTATTTTGTGCAGAGGACTGGAAGGGTCAACCCCACTGTGGGAGGAACCTGCTTTCTCCAGACCACTTGTTCTTAGATCAGCAAACTGCTTTGGCACACATCATGGAGTGATAGACACGGTACATTCTTCCTGTCATCAACCCTGCTATACTAATGCTCAGAAGACCTACTGACGTCTACAGCAGCAGGTGATTCCCACCAGTGCAGTTAAGATTCACTCTGCCTAGGCACGGGACCAGCCACATGCCTTTTTCCCCACGCTGTCCATTACCAATTAAACCCTCTTACATATTAGAATACACCTAAAGTAACAATCTGGGTTACGACACCAGACTCAGTACCTGATTCTATCACTTAATGGCCTCATGATTCTCATCTGTAAAACAGGGAGAAATCTAATGTTTTAAGACAGATCCCCAATTAGCTATCAGGCCCAATGCAACATTTAAGAAACAATACATTTACAGCTGAGAATGTAGCTCAGTGGTGCTGTGCCTGCCAGGCAGGGGCAAGGTCCTGAGTTTGATTCCCCGTAACAAGAAAAAAAGGAAAAAGAAAGAAAAATATTTTGGACCATACTTTTTTTTTGCGGGGGGGTACTGGGGATCGAACTCAGGACCTTGCGCTTGCGAGGCAGGAGGCGGAACCACTAAGCTAAATCCCTGGCCCGCTGCATATTTTTTAAACATTTTTAAATTTTCCTATATTTAAAATTCAAGGATTTATCAAAATATATATTCCCAGCTTGACTAGAGAAACAGTCAAATATCAAATCTGGGTCCCCATTTTTTGCCTGGCAACAATGGCTGCTCCCTTTAGAAAGGCAGCAGGTCAGTAGGGGTAATACTCTTTCACTCATTTAATGTTGCCTGAAGCACCCTACTTTGCAACCTATTTTAATGATCAAGAACAAAAATAATAGCTTGTGTTCAGTAAAAATGCTTACTGGAGCAGCCTTTATCACTAGCTCATTTGTTATTAAGTTTGGTGTTCTGCCTTGAGTCTTAGAATTTTAACATCAGCATCTGTTTTCTGCTTCTTGAACAGTCATGTACCACAGTAAAAGCAAAAACCGCCCTGAAGCTTTCCTCACTGCAATGTTCCCAAGTTGACTAACGCATTAACTATCTAACCTGTCTGCTGTCCAAGCTGGAACAACCTCCCTTCCACACACCCGAGTCTAGGCAGACAAAAGATTGGGGAAAGCAAGTATTTTCATACGAGCGAGTGGGTTACTTATACTTAAAGTAGCCAACTTTCGGGGGGCGGGGTACCGGGGATGGAACTCGGGTCCTTGCGCTTGCGAAGCAGGCCACCAAGCCGCTGAGCTAAATCCCCAGCCCTAAAGTAGCCAACTTTCAAATTCCCATTTTTTCTGTACTAGGAATTGAACCCAGGGCCTCCTAGTGAGCTGCATCCCTGCCCCCCCACCTCCCCCCCCTTTTTGCGACAAAGTCTCACAAAGTCGCCAAGTTGTCTAGGATGGGTTCGAATTTGTAATTCTCCTACCTCAGTTTCCCAGGATGCTCCGCCACTCCCAGTCCGAAGCTTTCACCACCAGACCACCAAATTTAAATAGAATCGCTCTTTCACTCTCGAAAAGCAATATGCTCTGGGAGTAGAGTTTCCTTCCAGGCAAACTCCATAAAGAAGGAAAAGCAACCAACATGGGCCCTGCACGCTCCTCCTACCCTAGGAGCTCCCTGCAGCAGAATGCCCACCCGTGTAGCTCTAAGAAAAGTAAACAACCCAGGGAAACAACGACCAACTCATATTTCCCGGGTTTTGCTCTTCCTGTGTAGACCGACTTCTATTTTCCAACACCTGACCGTCCGAATCAGCCGCCGGGCGCTAACTATCCTGCGGACGCGTCCAGCCGGGCAGCAGAAGCAGCGCGCGCGCGCGCGCCTGCCGA